AAGAAACCAATGAAATATAAACTATACATTACTCTGCTTTGAAATTAGTCCTGTAGCCTAGGGAGAAGACCCAAAATGGAGGAAAGGAAGAGTGAAGAGAGATGATAGGAAGGGATGCAGATCCAGATATGTGGCAAGCCCAAAGAATGAGGAAAGCCCATCAAGGAGGGCTATTTAGGGAGTAAAGGGAACATGGAGTTTTAGGTACAGATACAAATGGAACGAGATCATAGTCTATCTTGCAGGATTCTATCTACTCACCACACTACTTGTCCATTTTATAATACATCACAAAATCTATCTTGCTGATAATACTTACTTCATAAATTCTCTAAAGTCTTCTCTGAGGTCTAGGTCTCCAAATCCTGCAGAGAAAATCTATAGCTACTGATTTAATTGAAATGATTCTTTGATGTACTTGGAAGCCAAGGCCTATACTTCACAGCTGAAAAAAACTAGTATTTCAATTACAAGTAGGCTATACTTTTTAAAAAAGAACTATTTAATTTTATTTTATTTGTTTATTATTATTTTTTAATTTGACCAGAGGAGAACAGAGGGAGAGAGAGAGAGGGGGAAGGTGAGAAAGTAAGCGACCAGGTCCAGGACTTGAACCTCAGTTGGTCATGTGGAAGTTCAGTACCCTTAACCACCATGCCACCTGCCAGCCCATGGGCTATAATTTTTAAAAATCTATTTTTTATTATTATTATTATTATTATTATTTTAAAGAATTATTTTATTTAACCTTATTTATTTATTTTAATTTGACCAGAGAGAGAGAGAGAGAGAGAAAGTGAGAAAGTAAGCTGCCAGGTCTGGGACTCAATGGTTCACCATGTGGGAGTCCAGCATCCCTAACCACCATGCCAACGTGCTGACCCCATTATTATTATTTTTTAATTTGACCACATGGAGACACACTGAGAGAGAATGAGAAAGTGAGAAAGCAAGCCACCAGGTGCAGGACTCGAGCCTCAGTTGACCATGTGGGAAGTCTAGTGCCTTAACCACCATGCCACCTGCTGGTCCTGGGCTATAACTACAGTCTATTTGAATTCTGGTTGTACACTAATCACTTCTATTAACCAAAAGGATTTATTTCAATCTGCCTAGTAAAGAAATTTCTAAATTGGGACCAGCAGTTGGCATAATGGCTACTTTGCTCGACTCCCATGTAGTTGACTGCTGTTCAGGTCCTGGACCCGGTGGCTTAAACTTATGCTGGGTGTAAGTTCATGCATGTCCAAGATGCTGAGAGGAGAATGGAGCCATCCCATTATTTCTTGCTTTCTGTCTCTTTGTCTCTCTCTATCTTTCTGGTGAGCACATGCGCCCTATAGCAAAAAGAAACCTCTACAAAAAAAAAAAAAAGAAAGAAAGAAAGAAAGAAAGAAATCTCTAAATCTCTGTTTTCCCTCAGAACGACAATTTCTAAGTTCTTACAAGGCAATCTTTAAAAACTAAGGTGGGGGGGGACAGCAGATAGCCTAGTGGTTATATTGCTGGACTCCCATGTGGGTGACTGTGGTTCAAATCCCAGACCTGGTAGCGTGCAACTCACTCCAGGTGCATGCACATGCATGTCCAAAATCCTGGGAGGAGAATGGAGAAGGGTATTGAGGCATGGCCATTCCCCCCAGGGGATGATTTCTCACTTTCCCTCTCATAGCCTCTGTCTCTGTCTCTCTCTCTGATGAGTGCACATGACTTAAGGCAAAAACCTCTTTAAAAGAAAAACTGGGACCAGCAGATGTCATAATGGTTATGTCACTGGACTCCCATGTAGTCCCACATGGTTGACCATGGTTCGAGTCCCAGACCTGGCAGCTTAAAACTCATGCCAGGCACATGTGAGCGTGTGCCCAAAATCCCAAGAAGAGAATGGAGGACAGGGATTATGGCATGGCCATTCCCCCTGGGGGGTGATTTCTTGCTTTCCATCTCTCTGGCCAGTGCACATACCCTATAGCAAAAATCTCTCTCTAAAAAATATCCCAAAAAACTAAAGGTAGGGGGCTTTCTGGGATAATGGAAATGTCTATATAAACAGGAATTTGGGTCTAGGTAAATGTATTTATCAAAACCAACGGGATGATATATGTAAGAGTTATACATTTCATTATGTGTAACATTTTCTTTAAAAAAGAACATACCCAAATATTTAACTCTAGTTAATGATACACATGCTGAAGTGGAATAAAGTAAATTCATGTCTGTTACTTACCTAAAAATGCATCAAAAAGTAAGATAGATGGGCCAGCAGGTGGCATGGTGGATAAGGCTCTAAACTCCCACATGGCTAGCCACAGTTCAAATCTCAGACTTGGCAGCTTTGTTTTCTCACTTTCTCTGTCTTTTTTCTCTCTCTGTTGCTTTCTGGTGGGCACAAATGCTCTTTGGCAAATTAGAAATAATAATAATACATAAAATTAAATAATTATTTTTCTTTTTAAAAAAGAATTATTTAACTTTATTTATTCATCTATTTCATTTGATCAGCTAGAGATAGAGTGAGAGTGCCAGTGAATGAGAGAGAGAGAGAGATAGGAGGTAAGCCACCAGGTCCAGGACTTGAACCATTGTTGGCCATGTGGGAATCCAGCACCCCTAACCACCACACCACCTACCGGCTCCTAAATAAATAATTCTTTAAAGAAAAGTAAGATAGAGGGGTCAGCAGGTAGTGTGGTGGTTAAGGGTATTAGACTCCCATATGGTTGACTGCAGTTCAAGTCTCGGATCTGGCGACTTGCTTTCTCAACTTCCCCTCTCTCTCTCACTCTACCTCTCTCTGGTCAAATTTAAGTAAATAAATAAAATAAAGTTAAATAAAATAACTCTAGGGAAAAAAAGAAAAGATAGATTGATGAATAGATGAAGAGATTTTTTTTTGAGAGATTTTCACTGTAGGGCGCGTGCGCTCGCCAGACAGACAGAGAGAGACATAGAGACAGAAAGCGAGAAATCACCCCCCAGGGGGGATGGTCACGCCGCAATCCCTTCTCCTCCATTCTCCTCTCGGGATCTTGGGCACACACGCACACGCGCCCGGCGTGAGTTTTAAGCCACCGGGTCCGGGACACGAACCGCGGTCGACTACGTGGGAGTCCAGCGACACAGCCATTACGCCAACTGCTGGTTCCCAGATGAAGAGATTTTTGATAAGGAAAATATAAGAAAACATTAGCAATAACAAACATGATACTCTTAGAAGTAGGTATGTGGTGTTCAGTTGAAATTTTTTGTGTTTGTAAAGATGCACAATAAAATGCAGAGAGGAAAAAATACAACTAATCAATTCTTCTAGGAGCTTGATGTCTTAGGGGAAAAAAAGACTTTAAAAAATTATTTTAACTATTTTTATTTATTATTATCATTTTTTAATTTGTCTAGAGAGACAGACAGAGACAGAGAAGGAAAGTGAGAAAGCAAGCTGCCAGGTCCAGGACTTGAACTGTGACTGGTCATGTGGGAATCCAGCACCATAATCAGTCCCAAGATTCAATCTTTTGATAACTAAAAGAAACCAAAACTGTTAGATAACACATAGATATAGATATAGATAGATAGATTTTTTTTTTAGAGAGTTTTTCTATAGGGTATGTGCACTCTCCAGAGCGACAGAGACAGACAGAGAAACAGAAAATGAGAAATTACTGCCCCGGGGGATGGCCATGCCGCAATCCCTTCTCTTCCATTTTCTTCTTGGGATCTGGGGCATGCATGCATATGCCCCTGTCGTGAGTTTTAAGTCGCCGGGTCCAGGATTCAAACTGGAGTTTTTCTATAGGGTATGTGCACTCTCCAGAGCGACAGAGACAGACAGAGAAACAGAAAATGAGAAATTACTGCCCCGGGGGATGGCCATGCCGCAATCCCTTCTCTTCCATTTTCTTCTTGGGATCTGGGGCATGCATGCATATGCCCCTGTCGTGAGATTTAAGTCGCCGGGTCCAGGATTCAAACTGCAATTGACTACATGGGAGTCCAGTGACGTAACCATTATGCCACCTGCTGATCTCAGATAATATATTATTAAATCTGAATTTGTGTAGTATAAATGATGTAAGTGGTATTTGGGATTAGGGCAAAAGAAAAAAACATATTAATATACTTCAGGTTTCATGGATTTGATAGACCTTGAACTATCTTTGGATAGGAAGAAAGTACTATCTAAAGAAGGAAAGTGCATGTTACTTGGAGAATATTAAAGAAGTTCAACATAAGAGGAGCTTGTTTGGGGGCCTGCAGGTGGCATGGTAGTTGAGGCACTGGACTCCCACATGGCTGACCATGGTTTGGGTCCCGGACTTGGCAGCTTGCTTTCTCACTCTCTCTCTCTCTGTCTCTTTCTGGTCAAAACTGAAGAATAATTATAATAAATAAAATTTAAAATAAAAAAAAAGAGGAGCTTGTTTTAGAGGAAATAGATAATACTAGAAGGTATAATAGGGTATCTTTAAATCAAGGGAGTTTCTTTTAAAAAAAAATTGGTAGGGGGACCAGCAGTTGGCGTAATGGCTCTGTTGCTGGACTCCCACGTAGTTGATCGTGGTTCAAGTCCTGAACCCGGTGGCTTAAACTCACACTGGGCACATGTGCATGCTTGCCCAAAATCCCAACAGGAGAACAGAGGAGAAGGCATTGTGGCATGGCCATCCCCCCAGGGGGTGATTTCTCGCTTTCTGTCTCTCTGTCTATCTCTATCTTTCTGGCAAGCGTACATGCTAGAAAGTTAAATATAAGTATTAATACAAAGTTAAATATAAGTATTTAATTTATATTTATTTATTTATTTTAATTTGAGCAGAGAGGGAGAAATGGGGGGCATGGGGGAGAGAGCAAGAGAGGGAGAGCAAGAGCAAGAGAGAGAGAGAGAAAGTGAGAAAGTAGGCTGCCAGGTCTGGGACTTGACTCGTGGTCGGCCAAGTGGGAGTCCAGCGCCCTTAACCACCATGCCACCTGTTAGCCCCAAGGGAGTTTCTATTTCCTATAATGAGGTATATGGAGTAATAGAAATATTTTGTTAGAGCTGGTGATTTATGAGGATAAAGCATTAAAATCTGGGGCCAGCAGGTGGTGTGGTGGATAAGGGTGCTGAATTCCCACATGGTCGACCATGGTTCAAGTCCCGGACCTAGTGGCTTCCTTTCTTTTTTTGGAGAGATTTTCACTATAGGGCGTGTGCGCTCACCAGACAGACAGAGAGAGACATAGAGACAGAAAGCAAGAAATCACCTCCCAGGGGGGAGGGTCACGCCGCAATCCCTTCTCCTCCATTCTCCTCTCGGGATCTTGGGCACGCACGCACACGCGCCTGGCGTGAGTTTTAAGCCACCAGGTCCGGGATGCGAACCGTGGTCAACTAGTGGGAGTCCAGCGACATAGCCATTATGCTAACTGCTGGTTCCCGTGGCTTCCATTCTCACTTTCCCTTTCTCTGTCTCTCTCTGGTGGTCAAATCAAAAGGTAACAATAACAAATGATATTAAATAAATAATTCTTTAGGGAAAAAAAAAAACAATATAGAGGCTGGCAGGTGGCTTAGTGGTTGAGGTGCTGGACTCCCACATACTGACCACAGTTCAAGTCCCAAATCTGGAGGCTTGCTTTCTCACTATTTCTTTCTCTCTCTCTGTCTATTTCTCTCTGGCCAAAATCAAAGAATAATGATAATAAATAAAAATTTAAAGATAAATGTCTTAAAAATAAAATCCAATATGGTCCATCAACTGATGAATAGATCAACAAAATGTCATACAATGAAATATTACTAATTAATAAAAGGCAACGAAATAATGATATATGCTACAACATGAATGAACCTTGAAAATATGCCAGGTAAAAGGAGCCAGTCACAAAATACCACATATTAAATAATTCTACAGATATGAAATACCCAGAGGCAAATTCATAGAGATAGAAAGCAGATTTTAGTTGTTGGGGGATGAGAGGAGTGAGAAATAGGGTGTGCTAATGAGTATGGAACTTTTTGGGGTGATGAAATGTTCTTAAATTAATGGTAATGTTTGCAGAACTCAGTAATTATATTTTTAAAAAGTCATTGAACTGTATACTTCAAGGGTGAATCTTATAGTATGCAAATTATCTCTCAATAAAGCTATAATTTAAAAAGTCTGATATGAATTACAGAAAAAAAAGACAGAGTGATCAATTTGGACTAGGTATTATAATAACCTAAGTCTGGAACCCGAATGAGAATGTCACCAGTGGTAAAAGGCCTAAAAATCTAAGATGCTTCTTAAAGAAAAAGTAAAAACTGGGTTGGAAGAAAAAGACTAAACTGGATGTGGTGTGTGGCCCAAGGGACTTGAAATCCAGTGGTCTGTACTCAGCAAGGGTAGAAATGGGTAACGGGCAAGGTAGTGAACGTGCTGGCTTGGGAGGAAACATGATTAATTTAAATTTTACATATTCTATGGCAAGTTCATGGAACTTCCTAAGGGAAAGGTTCTAAAAGATGGAAAAAAGTGCCCAGGGTACAAGTAAGGAAGATTATTGGGTCTACAGCATAGAGTAAGAACTACAAGGGGCTGGCAGGTGGCATGGTGGTTGGCATGCTAGGCTCCCACGTGGCCAACTGCAGCTCGAGTCCCGGACCTGGTGGCTTGCTTTCTCACTTTCCCTTTCTCTCTGTCTCCGTCTAGTCAAATTAAAATTAATAATAATAATAACAACAACAACAAATAAAAGAAAATAAATCTTTAAAAAAATAATAAGAGCTGCAACTACAAGAAGGTGTCCTTTAGGGGGATAATATAAAGAGAAAGATGAGGGGACAAAAGAGCAGATTCTTTTTTTTTTTTTTTTTTTGAGAGGTTTTTTGCTATAGGGCACTCGCCAGACAGACAGAGAGAGACAGAGAGACAGAAAGTGAGAAATCACCCCCCAGGGGGGACGGCCACGCCGCAATCCCTTCTCCTCCAGTCTCCTCTTGGGATCTTGAGCACGCACACACACGTGCCCAGTGTGAGTTTAAGCCACCGGGTCTGGGACTCAAACCGCGGTTGGCTATATGGGAGTCCAGCGACATACCCATTACGCTAACTGCTGGTACCAAAAGGGCAGATTCTTTAAGACAGATTCACTTGGGGGGAAAAGCAAAAAGAGCTGAAGACCTAAGACCACAGACTGCTTAAGCCAGAAGACTAACAGAGGATGATATCGAGACATAGCAGATGGCATAATGGTTATGTCACTGGACCCCCACGTGGCTGACCAAGGTTTGAGTCCCAGACCTGGCAGCTTGTAACTCACACTGAATGTGTGTGCATGCATACCCAAAATTTTGAAAGAAGAATGGAGGAGAGAAGATTGCGGCATGGCAATCCCCCTGTGGAGTGATTTCTCTCTCTCTGTCCTTCTGTCTTTCTCTGTCTCTCCAGCAAATTCATATGCCCTATAGCAAAAATCTCTCTAAAGAAAAAAAGAGAGGATGATATCAGAAGAACCATGGAGGGAAGCAATGACTCAATTCAGTATAAACTTGGGATGTTTATGTTGAAGATGGTGTTGCCTTCCAGACAGGTGTTTCAAGAGGATAGTCAGGAAAGAAGTCTGAACGTAGTTTATAAAGGAAGGGAGAATCAAGGCTGTGGATATCTACAAGTCTAAGGTATCTAACACAAAAATAAGGAGGAGACATGGGAGTGCAAGTTATATCTGAGTAAGAAAAGGGGTCTCTAAAGAATTAAGGGAGATTGAGGACACAAGAAGAGAAAATAATCTAGCAAGTAGGGTTATAGAAAAGGCAGAGACCAAGGGCTGGCCAGAGGCATGGTGGTTAAGGTGCTGGACTCCCACATGGCTAACTATGGTTCGAGTCCCAGACCTGGTGGCTTGGTTTCTCTCCCTCTCTCTCACTCTGTCCCTCTCTGGTCAAACAAATAAATAAAGTTAAATATAAAAATTTTTTTTTAAAAAGGGACCAGTAGTTTGTGTAATGGCTATGTCGCTGGACTCCCATGTAGACAACCACGGTTTGAGTCCCGGCCCCGGTGGCTTAAAACTCACGTGCATGCCCAAGATACCAAGAGAACGGAGAAGGGATTGTAGTGTGGCCATCCCCCCTAGGGGGTGCTTTCTTT